CGGAACTATGTGCATTATGATGTGAGCCCTGTTATGCATGTATTCGTATGGGTCTCAAGGCTCATGTCTTAATGCACATAGTTCTATTTGGCAGAAACACGTCCAGTTCGCCCCAAAAAACATCTCGGTTTCATTAAGAACACGAGCGAGACGGGGCTGTACGCACAACGACGCAGTTACGGGAAATCTGAGTTTATTAGCACCCAGTTCGGGCAGGATAGGCAGGGTCCGAGAACGAGGGAAGGGGAGGGTTGTGGATCGTCACGGATTTCGCCGTCCCCGTGTCGCGTGCCCTCATAAACAAAAACCCGGTCATGTTTATATTGGCCCCCTAATAAGATCGGATGCGATTCCTCCTTCTTCCGTGTTGCCGGACCTCACGTAGAAAAAACTTCGATTAAAACAATCAAACGGCCTAATATTTCTGCTATAAGATCTCAACTTTAGGTCACGGAAGAAACCTAAAAATACGTGGGGGGACTGTGATATACAGGGTTGCAATTTTTCATGAAAAATAAAATCTTGAAATTTCATGTGTGGTTTTTTATGAAACTTTAGCAATTTATGACAAAAATTGAAAATAGTATTTGAAATCAAATGAAAAATTAAATGAAAGGCGACTGGATTTTGCTTTGTCGTGTTTTCTAGTGCGTGTTGCATTCCGAGCCCCTGAAAATATGTTTCATAATTTTCATATTTTTTACAACTTTGTGATATTTCATGAAATATTTCACGGAAATTTTCAATAATTCATATTTTTCATTTCACTCGTGCAACCCTGGTGATATACTGATGAGGTCCAAGAAGACTCACAACGTTACTGCGTTTGGCGCAATGCGAGACGTATTCATGCAGTCTTGTAGGCGCTGATATGGTCCGTCCGCCGACCGCACTGTTTGGCGCAATGCGTGAGGTATTCTGAAATTCTTGCAGGCGCTAATATACGTTAAACGTCGGCCGCACTGTGTTTGGCGCGATTATTCGGACTCGCGTTAGAATGATCGCGGCGCAGACCTCTCGGCGTGACTCCAGCTCAGTAAGTCACTGCATCTGCCTGATTGTGACCTAAACGCTCTTCCCCTCGTGACTTGTACTGATATTCATTAGAGCTCTTTGGACTAATATTAAAATTTTTGAATTTTTCGGCCGTAATTTCCCCGCAAAATAGTGGGGACCCGGCCCTATTTTACCACCTTGTTACCCCGGGCCAACTCAACTGAATATTCGGAATTGAATCCGAGTTCCAGTTTGACTTTCACAGAGGTGTTTCTCCAAGCTCTTACGCTGGAAAATCACTGCTTTCCCAATTAGAGATTAAATGATTATTTTTATATTGTAAATTTATCATCGTCACAGAGACTTTAATAGACAAACTACGGTAATAGCAAAATTTGTGTATGGGATTTAACATTATTAATTGCGAAGAATTTTTATAATAATAAGTAACTATCATGTCGTTACTTACACTATACTTTATTCATAATTTAAGTTAATTGTTTATTTTTCTGTATCGGAAGATAACAATAAATTAACTATTAAAAAAAGGGGGGAAAAATGCGAGGCAAGATTTGTGGACGATGCAAGACACACACCCTCAGGTAGGTATCTGAACTTAGACGACACAGGCAGCTTGCTGCATAGAGTATGCTCTCTGGCCTGCCTCGGAAATTGAAGGCGAAATGGTGGTGATGCGGGTAACTTTCATACCCCTTTTATATCAATTCTACTGTCTCTTCATTTTTAACATGATATCGCCTCTGAACTATCAAAAACTTTGGTTACTTGGCTGACTATCTTCTCCGCACAAAGTACATTTGTGGTAATTTTTCCGATTTTTATCGTTGCTGCACAAAGTCATTTTCGCACATATAATTTTCTATATTATGTGGCAACTTTGAGAAAAATATAAGGCATATTAAAGAAAAATCAGTGAACAAATATAGAAAAAATTCGATTGGCAGCTTTCATCGACAGAACATCTCCAAACGATTCCTTTTTTAAGTCGAAAATAATGGTATTTCACATTCTTATGAACTAGCTTATTTTTACCTCGGTTGCTATCAATTATCTTAAAATTTTCGGGCATGATATCGATTTAAGACACTCTTTAAAAATGCATACCAAATATTAAGATTAAAATAAAAAAAACCTTGAAACTGATTAAAAATTTACTAAAATAACTTTTTACGTCATATTCGTTAAAATTGACACTGATAACCGAATTAAAATCATGCTACATTGCCCGCGAATAGCGGCTCCACTATGAACTGATTGAGGGAAACTAACTGCATGACCTGCGGATGTCACCAGATGTTTGAGATCTGATTTGTGCGAAAATGAGTTTGTGTGGCAACGATAATCGGAAAAATTACCACAGTTGTAATTTGTGCGGAAAAGTTATTCTGCCGGTTACTTGACCGCGATTCGAAGTTTTTTTCTCGATCACTGGGAATTCTTGGGAGCAGATAAAAACCGAAACGGCCGTTGTGATGACAACCCTTTGAAGGGGCGCTTCGAATGAGGCGACAACATGGCGTGGAACTGTGTCTGATTGCGTCAATAAAACTGTGATGAACTTTTTATTTGTGCGCATCATCTGACCGAGAGAAGACTGACTTTTAAGTAATACTGCATTGATTAGCCTCAGTTAAAACAACCCTCCAGGGATGAGCGAGCGAATCCTTCACGCGTGGAAGCGCAGCTTTGCTATTAACTTTTGCTTGGCTTATAAATGTTGTTTCTCGGAAATATCAGTTTCATTTTGCCACGATGACAATAGCTGCGACCTCCATTACATTATTATTTTCACCAGGCTAACCACGCAGTAACGAAACTGAATTTTCGTGGTGATCTAAATTAAGCTTTTACATCATCCAACGAGATTTATATCAAAAGACCTGAGTTCAAAAGAAAAGAGCCAAAGCATTAAGTTTGGAGTGAGATAATGCGGTTTGAAGTTCCATTTATCTAATACAATAATCGATGTTGAAGTTTAAACCCCCATATTTTTCACGACTATGAATATTTGACGAAAGGAAATGCACAACTGGTTGAGCCCATGATTGGACCGCGTTAAACAGAAAGGAATCAAACCACATCAGATGTTGCCAAATTTAATTGGGCGATTTATATACATGAAAAAGGTTGTACGGATTTTTGAGCAAATTTCAGGGAAATTTCTCCATAGTACGAAGCAAATTCCTTAACATCTTCAAAGGAATCCGCACAAAAGCTCTCTCGTAAAAAATTAAATTGCCTAATTAAATTTGGCAATAGCAGATGAGGCTTGGTTCCTATCTGTTAAACGCGGTCTAACTGCTCCTATCTTTCCCCCAAAATGTGATTCATAGCTCCTTTCTGATTAGTCTGATTACTCTCCTGGTTGTATTGTGTTGGTTCCCTGGTAAAAATTGGCAGTAGAATCTGTGTTCCATAATACCATAGACCTACAGCCGGCTGTAAGATTTCCAATAGCTTCTATAGCCGGCTACACAATTTCTTATAGCCGTTTATAGCCGATGGCGATTAAGCAACAGCCAGGCGATAAAGTGTATGCTAAACGTTACTAATTACGGATGCTAGGACTTTAAAGTTTTTGGAATACTGCTCTCTTTTTTGGCCGTAGTATCTTGATTTATTTTGCGAGGAAAGATCCGTACTTTTGATGGATGCCTGCCATTACTAATATATTAGAGCGCCTTCAGTTTCGTATGATACTGTGCAATACCTCTGGTGTGAAATAGTTGCTTCAAGCGCCGTGGCAGGCGGGCAGCCAGCGCGAAACACGCATTGGCGCCTACAAACCTAACAGGGATACTTCACGCGTTGCGCAATACGTGAAGTATCCCTGTTAGGTTTGTAGGTGCCAGTGCGTCGCCGCTACGCTTTGTGTTAGGCTCTAATACTTAATCTGGCGGAGTCAGCGTTATTCAACTCATGGTTTCGAAATGTTTGCACATCCTATATGGATTATTCTCATTTTAATTGATGAAAAAAAAATATGTACTAAAGGAAAATATAATGTGTGTGTTTTGTAAATATTAAGGTGGTTCCGTATCAAACTTAATGATTTCCAAAGCACACGAATTTCTACACAATCTCTTATAGCCTTTTATAATCGATGGCGAAAAAGCAACAGCCAGGCGATAAAGTGTAAAGCCCGGCGATTGGAACTATAGCCCGGCTGCATAATTTTATATCGCTTCGTATAGCCAGGCCATATGATTTTCTCCATAGTCTACAGCCAGCTACATGATTTCCTGTAGCCTTCTTTAGCCAGCTATAAGAATTCCTACGGCATTTTGAAAAGCAGCTCTTATCGCCAATTTTTACCAGGGATTGTATGGAGGAAATATGACAAAGCCCGATGGCTCATACGGTGTTTTTCCTAAGTACGGCAGATAACCGTTTTTCGGCTCTTACAGCCGAACTTTTTTTTTCAGTGTCGATTTGGACTGATATCTTTGTCTTTGATGTCCATCAAAGTAAATCTCGAACACACGCACCGACTAAAACAATGAAGTGTCACAGCCTCACACGATACTTCTGCAGCGATTACAATTGGACCGAGCTCAGCAGAAAGGAACCAACCCACATTAAGTTGAAACTGAGTAAAAGGGGTTTGAAGTTTGAGGATTTGAGTATTCCTGCGTAAGGCTCAATGTAAAGAATAATCTTTAACCTCTCTTTTCACAAAAAAAAAAAAAAAAAAAAAAAAAAAAAAAATGCTGTAAGACTTTCAGCTTTTGGCAGGAGAAAATATACGGATACTGAAACTCAAATTCATTCTTAACTCAGTTTTTTTCGAAAATGTGGGTTGGTTCCTCTCTGATAAACTCGGTCCAACTGGTGCTATGTTGTCATGTAAAAATACTTAAAAAGTACATTATCTCTTTTTATGCAGAGCTAAAGCCAGAATAGGTGCGGGGCAGATTTCCTGGATTCGCGCGGAAGGTGACATGGCTGCTCAACTCCTAGCGGTGACTTGCAACATGGGATTATCTTCGAATCGGTGAATGACAACTGCAAGTCAAGATCACTACTAATCAAGGAGCTAGTCCGAGACATTGCACCTCGGATGCAGGATGCACTTCGCATATCAAACGATGCAATGCTATATAATGTACCCTGTTTTCGCGATCTTGCGTCAGTTTCACTATTTACGTTGAGTGTTCCGTGAGCCATGGCTTTCAAAGTAAGTGTAGCGCGCTGCTCTCTTTTCTTCCTCATAATTTCGTAGCTTCTTTAAACTCATCCTGTATTTTCAAATGTTTTGTTGTCTTCTACATTCAACCTAACTTTCCTCCTTGCGTTGCTTTTAACTGACATCCCCGGTGAAAGCAGGAAGGAATGGACATTTTTGTATGGTAATTTCCGTAATTAGTCGACGTGATTTTCAACTGGACAATTCCTGCTAGTAACTAACTATAGCTCGAGTATAGCATTTTCTTTCATTTTGAGGAGGGAGCGTATGCTTTTTTCTGACTGATCCCTACGCGCTGATTTTTGAAATAGGTAGATAAAGCTATGGACAAGAAAGGAAATGGAGCGTCTATTGGTGGAAGCGGGTGGGTGCAATGGACAATGGGCGCAACTTAAACGTCAACCCACAAAGGATCCTATTAAAAATTAATCATTTTCCCCTTTATTTTATAACAGTCACTCGTTACAACGAATAAAAAAGCTCCATTTTCCCTTTGCTTCTTTGTGTATTGCTTGGTCCATCAATTTCAAAAATAAACTCGCTCCAATGAACACATGTAAAATTAAGTTCAGCTCACAGTGTATGCGACATTGTACATAGTTTTCGGCAGTAGTAGTAGAGTGAGAGTATGATATGGTAGTTTTGATTACGAAAACGACTCATCGTTTTATGCCTTTAGGATTTTATATTCAAATTTGTTGCCACTCATTTTCATCAGATTCCACGGTTTTATGGGGACTTGCGTTTTTTCCTTTCCAGATACCTACTTAAATGTGTACTTTAACATGGTTTCCTTTTACGTCTAAAACACGAGCAGGAGGTTTCATGTCTGAATGGAATGTTCTCTCCAAAGCTTCTCTCTAACCGCAAGCTGTATATTCTTAACTCTAGTCTGCCTGAGCCTCTGAACCAACGAGAAAGCCTGAGCGGGGTCAATTTGACCCCAGCTGAAAATCAATTAGTTAGCTATGTTTTTTTCATGTTTTTAGTTAATATCAGTGCACTAACCTTGCAGGCCTTAACCATAAAGCGTATCTAAGTTTTAAAAAAACACGGCGCAGGGTATGCAACCATTTTATCATACACATGTTGCCATGTTGTTCTCAGCATGAGAAAAAAAAATCATAGGGCTACTAAATACTGAAAACGAAAAAAATCTGAAAAATTTTGCTTGTTTTATAAGTTTCTGAAAAAAATTAAAAAGAGGAAAATGAATACACTTTCAAAGTAAGGATGCTAAATGGTAAAATATATGTTATAAGGATATCTGACCCCTTTCAGGCTTTCTAGGGGTACTCGTGAATTTTTTGATCTCTCATGCACATTTTTTTTCCCCCTTCAAAATTGTGTTCCTAGATGTTTTTGTAGAGCTATTTGTGAAGGACAAAAAATTTCGTGCATACCACGAGAAATGGCAAAGAGTTGAAACTCCCGTGGGGTCAATGTGTGCAATGTCAGGCAGACCAGGGTAATTAAAGAATGCTCATGACATGTTTTCCTCACCGCGTTCTTAAACGCAGAGAAGTATAAACGAAGTTTAAAAATAGGAATTCAAGCCACGGAAGGTCCAACAAGTGAAGTTTCATCAACCCCTTTTAAGTTTTAATTCAAGCGACGCAACTAGAGAACAGAGCTACAGGCGAGTTCGTTTCAAATGTCGAGTTGCCAGCTCCATCCCACACTTCAAGAACCACGTCACTCTAATGAAAACCCCGCGGGGGATGCGCGATTTTAGCATAGACCGAAGGCATCGGTGTGGCGTGCTTTAAGATGAATCGATTCATCTGATATTTAAACCTATACGAAAGAATCGATAATCAGGGTAAAGCTTACTAATCGATTCTTTACCATCGCTTCAAATGGGGAAATATCGATAGTATCGATATTAGTATCGATTCGATACTAGTCGATAACTCAAGCCTCGCCAATTGTAAATAGGGACTTTCGACCCGGAGTGGAAACCAATTAAAGTATCCTCACTCCTATTCCATTCCGAGAGAATATTCTTATTTTGACCGTGCATTGGAACTCATTTCACCGATGGGAAACAGAAGCTTACTTAACTCGAAGGGTGAGCCGATGGACTTTCGAATAAAATTTGCGAGCGAATTTAATGACGCGAAGTTGGCTGGCAGAGAGGGGAGCTTAGTTACCTGCGCAGGGGAGGAATTAAAAATAATGGAAACTACTCGCGAAACTATGCTACGAACCGACGTTGCCAAATATCGGGTAAAAGTATTTAGATTTCCCCGTGCGAAAATTGCTGATTAATGTGTCAAAAATAGAGAAAAGCAACCTTGAAATTAATGTGCGCGACCACATCCGAGCTATTACTTACTGTGCCGTGCTGAAGAAAAACGCCGCGTATGAACCTTCAGGCGTTGCCAAATTTCCTTTGATAAATCACGAATTTCCTGGTAAACTTATGAATATTTTCCTTCCCGATTTTTAGGGAATTTGGTTCGCAATTTCACTCAAGTTCCTAAAAATATCGCGGGAAAACATTCATAACTTTTCTCATAAGTAAATGTTTTATTGAAGGAAATTTGGCAACTCTCAAATGTTTATACGGGGTTCTTCCTTAGCACGGGAGCAAACTGGAGTCCCTTTTCTGAATGAGTGGTAACTACCAGACCGGGAAATTCGGCCTCGATTCACGTTAAAGAGGCTGACGATTTTCCATAAAAGTTTATTCAACGAAAAACATTTAACTACATTTCCAGGCGCTCAACATCTCGGTTCTTCTCTATGGCTAAATGGTTTAAAACTGCGAGACTAGTTGCATCCCGGACAAGTTTAAACAACCTGGTATCGATGTACCCAAAGCGAGATATTTGTTTATGCAAACTAAAAAGATGGTGTTCCACACTGCCCGAATTGTAAGGTTTGTCGAGTCAAAATTAAAGCTCACATAACCAATGACGTCCCATTTATACTTCATGTCAGTTTGAAACTTCGGTACATCAAACTGAGCACAGCTTGTATGGTTAATGTGACTGATTTTTGTCCTCAATATAGCGAAGCATTCGGAAATAATGTAATTTCCGAACATCGCTCCACTGCCACACTAATTGCGCAAGTCGCTAAAGGATGACCTCAAAAATATTTTGCAATGGACAGAAATTTAAACGTTGGCATATCATTAAATGTTTCACCTCAGATTTTATAACAGCCCAGCGTATCTGGTCTTGTATATTTTTTCGCTTTGCTTAGTCCATTCTTCCTCTCATTCAAATCTTTGTCATTTTCTAAATGATTTTCCACCTAGAGCTGACTCCATTTGCAAACGCAACGGAATATTTTGCGGGTCATTTAACCCTTGCAAAGTAATACCCATTGATGAGAGTGCAACAATTTCAGATCTTTTTTATGCTGCACAATATTTTCATAGCTTGTGTACTGGAAACTCACGTGTGAATTTTAACCTAAATACACGAGAGATCGTTATTTCTAACAGAATTCTTTCAGTATCGCAATCTATCGAATAATTTTACTCGCATCGTTTAATAATTTTAATAGCCAGCGGTGCCAAATCTCGAGAATAATTCAATTTTGAGATTTTTATCAATGTCAGTTTAAAAAAAGGGTCGGAAATGATGTTACATTTGAAAAATCAGAAAATGATGTCTGAAGTAGATATTTTCCGTCTTTTTAAATGTATTTATTTCTAAATTGCATTATAATTTCATGCTCCAGGTATACTAATACACGAACGATAAAGATTATTATCACCATGAAGCCTATGCATAAAACCTGCAGGTATTACGGCGAGCTTAAGTCAGTTAAGTCTCTCTTCCCTTCGTAAAAGCTCTCTAATTTTGCAAACTAATCTAATTTATTCATTGGCCAAAGTTTAACGATAGATCTTCGTAATTTTCAAGTGATGTCCGTTGAGATGCCCTGCTAAATTTTTGAGCAGATAATTTCGACGGCACTTCATGAAATTTTAAAGCATGAATTTGATTTATGATGAATTACGAGGAGAAGCCTATTGGAATAATTGATATGATGGAATTATTCACCCTCCCGTTCACCCTTAACACTCCATGACTTAAACTCTCGACAAAGTTATGAGCGAAAGGGTGGATTGAGAGAGGTGCTTCGTAAATGTGATCTCCGATGTTAAACTGTGTCATCTAGTTACTTACATTTTCCGAGAAAAAGTAAAATATTTTCCGTGAGATAGTGCTAATTACACTCCAAGAAGAAAAGAGGAACACACTCTTTTGACGGAGAATGGACCACTAGACAAAGGTACGAATTTAAGCATTTTGTTACATGTTTCTTGGCCAGAATTTCACGTATAGAAACAATTTTTAAAAACAGAAAATTACTGAAACCAACTCCTAACGAAAATATTAACGTTTTAATTCACTCTAGTTACGAGGAATTTGAACTGCCCACTCACAACATACTCAAAGCTCTACGTGACTCAAATCGCGCACTACAACGGTTTCAGAAAGCTTCTCAATCGAACGGTGTTCATTTCCCATCATGTGTATTTCAAACTATAAGTAATTTGCTATAGCTGAGCCAAAGCATCCAGATTGAGGTTGCCAGATTTTCATATCGCAGAGACTGCCATGATAACGTTTAGCGCGCGATGTGAATCACGTAGAGCATTGAGTTTTTATGAGCGGGTGGCTTGAATTCACGCCCCAAGAATCATTAAATATCTTCGGATGGAGTTGATTTCGGTAATTGTCGCTGTGCGAATCGTGTTTTACGTAAAAATTTGGTGAATAAACATGTATCAAAATGCTGAAATTCGTACCTTGTCTAGTGGTCCATTGACGTAAATATATTTTCGGTCCATGTCGATCAAAATTTGAAAAGATAAAAAGGGATTTTATACCTTTTCACCTGAAGGGCTCTGAGAGGATAGGGGACTTAGGCGGCTGGGAGTCGCAGAGCGCCAAAGAGTGCTGTATTAGCGGCCTCTATGTATGCATAAAGGGATTTTAACTTTCATACGTACCAAAAATTATACC